AATTAAAACATCGAAATACAACTTCTTCACTTTCCTGCCTCTCAACCTGTTTGAACAGTTTCAGCGAATAGCCAATGCTTACTTTCTTTTCTTGCTGATTTTGCAGGTATGAATTCACTGTGCTCTGTCTAGCAGATTGCATTGTCTTATCAAAGCCGTTCTTGATAGCTGTAATAAAGGGCAAGCTATATCCCTGTTATGAATTAGCGTCTTAGTAAAACATTAAAGTAGATTAAAGTAGGGCAGAAAAAAAGCAATTTCCTCCCTTACCGTTGGATATGAGGGTTTGAAGAAAAAAATCTAATTAAAGTTCTCAACAAATTGTGTACCTTTTTCATGCCTTGTCCCCTTGTGTCTACATCTAAGTGCCCCTGGCTGTCCTCGGATTTGCATTACTCATTCCTCCTGTAGCACAAAAGGAAGTTGTCTCTTATCCATAGATTTAAAGGCAAATTCCATTGGCAGTCTCAAAGGAAACTGCAAGAAGAAGAGCAAATTTGTAGCCCGTACTGCTTCCCTGGGAAGGAGGGAGTTAACATCAGGAAGGCTCAAGGTTGGAGCTAGTTTGCATAAAGCTGAATATTGCTGCTCCCTGCTCAGCAGGGTGAGGAAGGTGCCTGATATGGAGCCTGTCAGACACCGGCAACACTATTGAACCCCATGGCTCATAATGGCACTTTGAGTTGCACTTTGCCCATTGCCGTTGGTAATAATAATCTGTCTGAAAGCTGAACGCACCAGAGAAATTGATATCAGGATTTCTGCACTTTGCTAGAATACGGATAAATGCAGTGTACTCTGTTGTTGCTGAGTCATACTGGAATACACATTATCAAAAAAGGGTATAATTTTTATTATGTTTCAAGTATGATATTTTGAATTTGACTATTTCAGCGCACACAAGTTTGCAAAGTTACTTTTTTCAAAAGCTCTTTTTCAATTTCAGCTCAAAAAGAAAAAAAAAAAAAGAAACATCGGCAAAGTTTTGTTAAACCTGTAGCAAACTGCATACCATCTTCTTTGCTTATTTACAGAGAATGAATTTGGGAAATTTCAGCCCACGTATATTTTTCATGAAACTACTGAAAGTGCTTTTTCAGCTAAGCTGACAGCACTGTTCCTGTGTTGTTGTACTGCACTCTAGCTGCTTGTCTATCAAATCCATAGTATTTCAAATTATTTGCCTTAAATTATTCCACTGTGTCTTTTGCTGAACCATCTAGGAGGGACTGTATATAAAAGCATACAGCTTTTTCTGCTATGTACAGCATCAAGATAGGCTAAGGAGGGCAGCACTTTACATGTACGTATTCCTCCACTTAGTTTTTGCCCTCTTCTGCCCTCTCATTCCATCCCTGTAGCACTGGGAGCAGGAGGGGATGCGATGGGTAGATTGTGGGGACTCTGCCTCCCCACTCCTTCGGCACAGTCCGGTGGGACATGCATATTCCCAGTTAGGTGAGAAGGCAGCAGTTGCGTGTCTCTGCAGCCTCCACAGCTGAGCAGGGCTGTGCTTGCCTCTAAACACCATTCCTCCGGGCTTGATTCGGTGGTGCCAGTAGGATCTGGGTTGTGACAGTGCAATCCCAAAGAGCAGCTGTCCACTCTTAAGCAGCTGCTCTATGCTGCATAAATGTCAACTTCACAAGGCACATGGGGTTGACGTTGCCCAAATCCAATCTGATGGACACAGTGGTGCTGGTATCACATTGCTTCCATCATTAATGCTCTTCTTCTAGAGGAAGGGGAGAACTATGCTGGGGTAAGATATCCATCTCTGCATCAGTGAAGGCATGACAGGGTCACCTTCAACTCTTGGGTCCTCTCACTGTTAAAGATGCGGGAAGCCAAAATGCCTCTGTTGATCTTGGAAGAGCAAGGTCAGCCCTGGCAACATCTGTGTGCTGTTTATTGATATGAAGTTTACTTCAGCAAAATGTGAAGAGTTACTGACACAAAAAATAGAAGTGTTTGAAGACTCTGCACAGCAGGCCTTGCTCACATAGCTTTGGGTCCCCCACAGCAGGCTTGCCCATGTCAGTGCCTCCAGAGAAAGCCACTGGGGACTTTGCAATCCTAATGTTACAAACAACAAGAAAGAGCAAACCACTGCACTTCCTGACAGCTCCATGTTTATATCCTAAATTACAGCTTGGTTTGTAAGCAAAGCGTGGGTTCCCTAGCTGTTCCACCTTTGTGGGGTCACATGCAAGTGACAGAGCTGCATTTTTGTCTTTATTCTGTATTCAGATATCACAGAAAAATGTTATCCGCAGCTTCCACAGAAAACAGCGTTTTGCTTCCATCTGTTTGTTGAACTGGCTGGAAATTTCTCAACTCTGATCTTTTCTTCCTACAGTTGATTCCTCAGATTTCCTCGCTGGCCTGGTTTACAACGGTGGTGCCCCTAGTGCTGGTGCTGGCTGTATCAGGAGTCAAGGATGCCATCGATGATTTTGTAAGATCTGTATTGCTGACCTGTACTTTGGAGTTTGCCTGTGAATCTTGCAGCGCAATGACTAAAGCAAACCCCTTAAAATAAACACAGTCAGTGGCAGGCAGATGGAGAACTGGTCTGTGGCCAAGGTGGGATCTGAGATTAGTTCCCCAAATTTATGGTTCATTACCGAAAAAGGAGCTAGAATTTCCAAATTGCTGAGCAGCCAGCAGCTTCACTGACTTTCTCTGAAACTGCTTGGCATGTCTGAAAATGTGGCCACCAGTAGATATGTCTGGATACATGCACAGAAGTCTGTTCTTAGGCTTCCACTTTGGAGAACTCGTCCTCTGCCATCTAGATGTAATATAGGCAGAAAAAACATTTGGTAGGAAGTAAGCATACAATCTGCGTGAGATTTTTGAAACTTGCACAGTTTTGGCCAAAGTCTGCTCCCATCACAGCTAAGCGGTCAAAGTTCCATTGACTTCACAGGGTGATGTCAGAGTGGAGCTTAGCATCTGATTTTTTTCTTGTTACTAAATAATTTTGATGCTCTACAGAGACTCAGTGCAACTTTCCAAGTAGGCAAGTGAGAAGTGGCGGGGTGCTTTCCCAGGGAGCAATGCCAGAACTTTTTGATATGGCCACTTTCCATATCAGAGCAGAGGAATGGGTTTCTCTGGGTGCTTAGCTTACAAAACTGTGACAGGCAGGACCAACACCAGTTGAGTCAGGACTGTGCTAAGTGACATGTAAGGCTCTGCCCTCCTCCTACCCTCCAAGAGCAAGCCCCATGTTGCCCGTTGCTCTTTGCAGTCCAGTTATGCCCTATGTTACTGGTGTACACACAGGCTCAACTGTGACTCAGTGACTCCGTCGTGACTCTAATCTGCCTGACCCATTCTGCCAGCTGGGTGAAAACCTAAAATGTTACCGAACTGCTTACAGCTCCTGTGTGCTTGATTTCCTGGAAATGCCTTTTTTCTTTTCAGAATCGACACAAAAGTGACAAGCACGTCAACAACCGCCCGGTCCAGGTCCTGATCAATGGCATGTAAGTCCTTTTTCTTTTGCTGTAATTTTGGCTGGGAAGAACATTTTGTTAATGACATTTTTTTTTTCTGTGTGAATCCCAGGGATCGCTAAACGATTTAAAATCGAGCTGTCTTTTGCACCACTAGTTCACCATGCAGTTCTGGACTACGTGTCTGATTAATGAACACAAGACATGGTACCGCAATCTGTGCAGACATTATGGCTGTGACTTTGCACTGGCAAAAAGTAAACTCTTCCTGCTCCTGGATATATGTATGTTTAAAGAAGTGATACTTTGAGAGTATTGTATTACCTGACTCCTTACCCTAGAAGTGACAAGCGAGGCTATCTTCCCATGTCCATTTATGTTCAGAGGATTTACTTCTGCATTAAGCAAAACTAGGCATTATCAGCTGAGTGTGTGTGGAGCACTTCTGACTTAGATGTACTGAAAACATTTCAGCTGTGTGCTTTGGACATTGTACTGCTAGCACCCTTCTTCCCTGCAGAAAAAATAGCAGAAAAAATTGGCTTTTGCGGCAGACAGATGTGCTGTTTACTTGTGGCTCCATGGCGTCCAACTGTGCGTAGGACACAGCTGTAGACAGCTGTGCAGTCTCCGGTGCCTTTTTTTTCCATACTATAGATAGCCGTATGTTGTGTCAACTCCAGCAGATGATCAAACAGTTAAAAATATAACTGGAAACTGAAGAATAGGAACGTACTTTTTGTGCTTTCTGCTAAGTAAACCAGTTTCTTAGTTTACTGTGTATTAGTTACTGTGTCTAGGAAACATGCATTGAAATAGAAATTTTCTAATATTTTGCCTTTGTTCAAAAACTGGAAAGAAAAACAGTCCTGCCCAACTCTGACCAACATTGAAAAAGCAAGGCTGAGCTGAACCCAAGCTTGTCCTGTTTTGATATGGCTCTTGATATTTCTCACCTCTAGATTTTGCACTTACAGCGTTCGTGACTGCGTTGCATTGATGCCTGCTGTCTGTCTGTCTGCGTGCACATCTCGCTGAGCGCTGTGGAGGCCACTGCAGACATGGGCTTAGCGAGGCACAGGCACAGCCAAAGCGCCTGCACTCACCTTCCTGACAGCCAGGCCCACACAGAACCATATCTGTTGCTCTGGCCCTTAATACCACTTAGAAAAATTAACACAACTGGCAATTTTCCCAGGTGTTTGGGAAGTCTGTTATGCAAAGTAGAATTTTTTTTCCAAGACAATGTGGCCCTTTAGGAGAAGAAAGGGAGTAGTCAGTCCAGATGGAAGGACAGTGCACATGGACTGTGCTGCTGTTGTGGGGCTTGGTCTCAACCCTGCATGGGTCACCCCAACCACTGCTTTTTTGTACTGTGGTGGTCCCTTAGCTTAGTACGCATCTGATCACATCATGGCAGGCCCTGCTCCATCTCGTCAGCAGCCCAAGTCCTAATGGCACCTACAGCTTGGCTGCAGGACCAGAGCCGAGTATCCTACTTTCCCAAGTGGTGTTTGCTTTATGTGCCTACTTACTAGGAGTTTTCTTGCAGGTTAAAGGATGAAAAATGGATGAATATCCAAGTGGGGGATATTATAAAACTAGAAAACAACAACTTTGTGACGGTGAGTACAGTTTCTCTCCATCTTGCTCACAGTTGGTCTCTGTAATTACCCTCATCACTCACAAGTAAATGAGTCAGTAGTGATGATAACTGCCCCAGAGACCTGCAGCGTGCAGAAACCACAAACAGCATTGCAGTGCCACTGCCCTCTGACCGTGTGAACTCACGCCAAGTCTGTCTGTCCGTGTTCAGGCTGATCTACTGTTACTGTCGAGCAGCGAGCCGCACAGCCTGACATATATTGAGACAGCCGAACTGGATGGGTAAGTGACCCTGGCCCTTGGGTACAACCACTGCTGCCAGTGCAAGGCCAAGTCTGTGCAAGGCTGTGTAGCAAGAGTTTCCTAATACCTAGAGTAAACTTTGGGTAGGTGTCTTGAAAAGAATATCTTCTGGTGGATGCTTTTGCCTCTTCCAGTGCAAATGTCATGTGAGGAGGGGACTCTTCCTTATTTTTGGCATCAGTTCTTCCAGCACAGAGAGTTAGTTTGAAATGTATTCTTCCAATATCCCAGGTCACTGGCAGAAGCTTTCTGTTTCTTGTGTCTCCCTTAGTCTTTTCTCTTAGCCAGATTATCTGGGTGAGATAATCACAATGAATAACTCCAGTAATCTTCTTTGGACTGCTATACCGTAATATTAATGTATTCATACTGCAAAGGCTTCCAAACGTTGCTCACTCCAGGGCACAACTGACCACAAGTCAGAGGGCTGCAACTAATTTGTATTAAGTGGAATAAACTGGATCTGACCTCATCTTTATGACCCAATTAGCATTACCTTTTCTGCATTGCCTGGAGCTAGCATCAGCTTGGAGGCCTAAGCAAGACCAGAGAGATCAAGAAATCGTATCTCTCCCAGTACCCTACAGACAGCCCTGTGGACTTTCCCTGACTGATTTCTGCTGAAAATGAGCTTGTAGTTCCTGTACGTGCAAGCACCCAGAGGCCCTGAACAAATGCAGTGTTTCTTTGACATTGCATTTCAAACTCCCCAGCTAGGTAGTCCCAGGACTTGAGTAATCCTCAGGACCAGAATACCATGGGAGAAGATCCAGGGCTCTCCTGTGTGCTCAGATGCCTCAGGGTTGTGTGGTATGAGTGGCAGGATAGACAGCGAGCTGCTCAGGGAGCTGAGATGCCTGGTCTTGCACTTTGTAGTGAAAATGAGAAGACAAGAGCCACCTCACTCTTTTTGGTACCATGGTACCACGTCCAGAATTCCTCTGGCTTGCCTGTCTTTGCAACTGATAGAGACAACTACACCCAAGTAAACTACAACTACAGCCAAGTAAAAAAGGCCGATGATGGCATGTCCCACAGATGTCTGAGGCAGAAGACTGTCCTCAAGAACAGAAATGACTTTCAAGGGAGAGCTTTCAGTTCGCATAGGACTTTCAGTTCATGTTTTTGTCTCATGCTTCCTTACAGTGAAACCAACCTAAAGGTGAAGCAGGCACTGACAGTCACTGCAGAACTTGGAGAAGATCTTCAGAAACTGACAGAGTTCAATGGTGAGTCTACATGGAAAATTCACTTCCCAGAGAATTTGCCCAAACACCAGTGTCCAGAGAATGCCTGGGAGTCCCTGCTCCTTGCTAGGAGACCCCTGGATGTGGTGGCAGGAAAACAGAATGGGCACATTGCAGTCTGTACAACAGATATCAACAGCACATGTAGAGAAAGAGATCCCCCCTCACTTGCAGGTCTTGGTGCCATGCATGGCTATAATCTGAAAATGCATTGGTGGGAGCTCTTCTTCTGCTCCATGCTTTTGTTTAACATCTGTCCGTTCATGTTGAGACTACCCACTTCAAACTTCACTAAAAGAGTTCGTGTAATTGCACGGTGCAAACTGTTTTCCCAAAACTGCATGCTCAGTTTTGATCTCAAAATATTTTCACGCTGCAGTCTAACATTGGTGCAGCAGTGCTGATGCATTGATTACATTTAGCTTCTGAGCAGCGACACTTTCCAAACACCGTTCAGACCTGAGGACTAGCTGTGCACACAGGACGGGGGACTACTTCCCAGGCTGAAGCATTGCCCTGCCAGCATTTGTCTCTCAATGCCTCAATAAAAACATCATTTTAAGATATTCAAAGACAAACATGGTTAACAGGCAACATGTACTTTCTTAGCACTCTTGTATATCAAATATGGGATAGGATGGGATGGGATGGGATGGGATGGGATAGAATAGAATAGAATAGAATAGAATAGAACAGAACAGAACAGAACAGAATGAATATTTCAGTTGGAAGGGACCTACAGCGATCATCTAGTCCAACTGCCTGACCACTCCAGGGCTCACCAAAAGCTAAAGCAGGTTGTTAAGGGCGATGTCCAAGTGCCCCTTAAACACTGACAGGCTTGGGGCATCGACCACCTCTCCAGGAAGCCTGTTGCAGGGTTTGGCCACCCTCTCGGTAAAGAAATGCTTCCTCGTATCCATTCCAAACCTTCCCTGGCGCAGATTTGAACCATTCCCACGCGCCCTATCACTGGATACCAAGGAATATATAGCAGCACATACACAGAAAGGAGCCAGACCTGTCAAAACCAGAGTGCTCCATGCTCACACATCATCAGCCTGCAGAGAGGATGGGGGAACAGACCCAGTGGTCTTAATCACTTAGTGGTGTTAGTCACGCTCCGCAGTGCCCTGCTGGCTTAGGTACAAGGGCAGGATTAAAGGAAGAGTTGGCATGGAAAGGGGTGGAGTGAGTGCTGCTGTCCTTGGAGCATCTCAAGGACTGCAGGCTCTGAGGAAATATTTTTAGATAAAGAGGAAAATTAATTTTTAAAAAATTCTCTTTGAAATAACCAGATGACTCCAGGACAAATGGTGGGGATATGGCAGAGTTAGCATAGCTGGGATAGTCTCTGGTAGAGTCATCGAAAGGCGTGGGCTTTTCTTTTGCTTTCTGCATTTAGGTTTTACGAAATTATAATGTGTGTGGTCTCAGCTCCGTACACCAGGATTTCTCCAAAGTGATGGCTGGGGTTCTGAGTGTTTTGGGTCTTGAGAAGTACGTTTCTACAGGTGCAGTTAAATGCTTTATGTTCATAGTCAGAGTGCCATGCCTTAATTATTCTCCTGAAGACACTGCAGTGTGTATCACTTTGTAAGCAAAAGCTTAATCTTAAATAATTTTCAGGCATTTCCTGTGTAATGCTTATCTAAGGGTACCGCATTCTTGAAACTGCATAATTTAAAAAAATGTTTCAAAATATTTTGGAAAATTAAAACTTTTTAAATCAAATATTTATTTGCCCTTTAAATCTCTATTTTAGCTATATTGTAAATAAAAGTGGCCTCTTTGCAATACTTAAAATGAATAAAATGTTTCCCGGGGTGATTTATATTTGGCAGAGTACTGGGAAGAGTGCCTGGAATCAGACCCAACCTTGCATTTCCCCAGCAAACCTCTGTAGAAGTATTTAAATATTTACCTAACTCTTTATCTAATTACTTGTTAAGACAGGAAGAGAGGAAAGGGTCGAGCAGCTAATACAGGCACTCGGTGGAATGCTTAATGTGAGTTATGATGTTTGTTGACATCGTGATGGTTCAGATAAGGAAGATGCTTGCAAAACGCTGAACTTCTTTATTTGATTTGGGGAACTGGGAGATGAGAAAGGCAACAACTCTTTTCAGTTGTATTGGGTGTATCTCTACAAGCTTCTCACTTCTTCTTTTCAGTTACCTACTACTTATCACATGTAGACTTGGCAGTATTTAACTCTTTCAGGTGAAATGCATTCAGGTATTGTCTGGCCATTAAGGGGAGGAGGAGGCAGGAGGCCCAGTGCCTTGCTGAGGTATCTTCAGCTGCAGAGTTACTGGGGTCAGCGCAGGTGTATTGGGTGTATCTCTACAAGCTTCTCACTTCTTTGTGATCGGTCTAATTGGGATGAATCTCTTCTGATCTCAAAATCAGCATAACAGTAACCCAGATCAACTCCCTTACTGGAAAGCAGATG